GTCGAAATTCACGAAACTCGAAACTATTTTCCCCATAAGAAATAATGGAAATAAAATTAATCCGTTCCAGACACCCAAAAATATTAAAATGATTTTTTTTTTCAAATTAAATAAAGATTTATATACTGAAATCAATGAGAAATCAAGTACATGCATATAAAAAATAATAATATCATTACACTTACCTTTACTGAAGACTTCTGGGTGGATGGAAGACAGGAGGAGGGGATAGGAGCAAGGTGTATACTATTGTTTGGAAGGAGAATCTCCTTCCATTAGGACTTTAGGTAGCAAGTCCTTATCTGGGGTTACTTCCCTTCTTTTAATGCCACTGGGAACAACTTGAGAGTCACTGGACCCCTGTTGCACAAAATATCTGTCCAGAGAGGTCTTTTTCTGGTGTTTCTTTAAGATTTTCCTGAAGTGGGACACAACACTGTCATTGTACATGTTGCAGATATGGCTTGTTTCAGCTTGGCAGGGTGATACTTTTCAACAAAACTGCAACTCATTCCATTTGGCACAAATTTCCTTAATCTTTGAAGAAGGCACCTCATCCACTCCCTCTCCCTCCTCCTCCTCTGAAGCAAGTTCCTCGGCTGTGGTCTGATGCTGTTCCAGTTGAAGCTCTTGCAGTTCATCAGTGGTTAGCTCTTCCCTGTGGCCCTCCACCAACTCTTCCACATCCCCGTCACTCACCTCCAACCCCATGGACTTGCCCAATGCCACAACACTTTCCACAACAGGCAGAGGGTCGGCAGGGACAGGGTCTGCCTCAAACCCTTCAAAATCCCTCTGGATCGTGTTCCTCACTTTATTTACCAAAGGGCTTGCACTAGCTTTCCTTGGGTCCATGATGACTTATTAGCAGTTGCAAGCACAAAAAACAATGGATTATTATGAAATGTATTCTATGAACCCGCGAGGTGATGGTCACGTGTTGGTAAACAATGGCACACTGACCGTGAATGGTGTGGGAGACTGGTTTGGTGTGCGCGGTGATGGGCGGACAGGTACCAGACAGTCGCCAAAACACGAGTCTAATTGCGAAACTCGAGACCAAATTTTGCCGAAAAAAAACTCGCCAAAGGTTGAATTTCACGAAAGTTGAGGCTGCCGAAACTCGAGGGTCCACTGTACGCATAAATTCTAGCGCCCTCAAATCTAGCAAGAGAAAGCTGATAGGCCTACATATGAAAGAATGGGTCTATGTGGTCAGTGTGCGCAGTATAAAAAAAAATCCTGCAGCACACAGTGCGTAATGAGAAAAAAAAAAACTTCGACCGTGTTTTTGGATTAAAACAGCAACTTTGCACTGTATTTTCATATGGTATTTATTGTTGTATTCTAGTTTTCTTGGTCTCATTTTATAGAATGGAAGACATATTACAGAAATTGAGATGATTTTGACTGGTTTTACAATGAAAGTACCTTGAAATTGAGCTCAAAGTAGCAGAAATGTTCGATTTTTACCAAAGTTCAAAAGTAAACAAATCATGCTAAGCGTCCAATACACGTCAACTGGTGAGTCTAATATTCATTCACAAGTGCGCCGATATTATTTATACCATTTCTACACTAATGCAGTAGTCTGCATAACAGTAAATCTTTGATTTTTTATTATCGCAAAAAAAAATAAGTGGAAAGCAAAAGAAATGTAAGAGGGGCCTGGGGACGTGACTAATGAACAGAGGAAATGTTATTTTAGTGCCAGGAATGTCTTTCTTGTTTATTCTGGACCCTATTTGGAAATTGGTATCATTTGAAATTTGTGTGAAATTGGTAAAATTGCTAAATTCTGACCACTTCATTGGATAATTGAAATCGGTAAATGGGTGGTTTCTTGTACTCATTCGATAGTAAAAATAGAGTTCTAGCGAAATAGTTATGATTTTTGTCGACTAGTACACTGGAATTGGCCGAAAATAGGGCTCAAAGTGGGCAAAATCGCCGATGCGTAAACATCGTCGAGACTGCTAACTTCGCAAGAGCATAATTCCGTAAGTTTTCCATCAAATTTCATACTTTTGGTGTCATTATGATCGGGAAAAGATTCTCCATCTTTTCATAAAATATTTTTTTTTTTTTTTAAATTTTGGCAACCCTGAGAACAAGTCTCTGAGAGAGCCTGGTGACCCCCAAAGGGTTAATAACATATACGATAGGGCCCATGAGGCTAGGTGGGAGCTAGGTTAGGTAAGATTTTTCAGGAAACAGGACTCGTGTTTCCTGATGAAGGTCTTTGTCATATGATGACCTGCATATTGAGCTTTTGGTCATCTGACTGAAGCCTTCCACTGGCTTACCAGTCCACCCCTTTAAAAGTTATGGTTTTGAGTATAACCTATTACCGTTTCAGTGTTGAGACCCCAGATCCTTAACTCACTCTGTCGAAAAATTAAAAAAAAAAAATTCATTTGAAATGATAGAGAATCTTTCCCTGATGGTAATGGCACCAAAAGTACGAAATTTGATGTAAAACTTAGGAAATTATGCTCCCATGAAGTTAACACTCTCAGCAATATTAACGCATTGGTGATTTCACCCACTTTGAGCCCTATTTTCAGCCAATTCCATTGTTCCAGTTGACTAAAATCATAGCTATTTTGCTAGAATTCCATTTGTTCTATCGAGTGAGTACAATAAACCACCCATTCACCAATTTCAACTACCCAGTAAAGTGGTCAGAAATTGGCAATTTCACACAAATTTCAAAAGATGCCAATTTCAAAATTAGATCCAGAATAAACAAGGCAGACATTCCTGGCACTAAAAAACATTTTCTCTGTTCATTAGTCATGTCTCCAGGCCCCTCTTATATTACTCTTGCTTTCCATTTTGAATTTTTATTCTCAAAAATATAGAAGATTTACTGTTATGCAGGCTACTGCATTATTATAATTGTAGAAATAATTTCAACCCATTCGTGACTGTGTATTAGACTAGCCAGTTGGACACGTATTGAACATCGGCAGAAATCGAACATTTCCGCTACTTTGAGCTCAATTTCAAGGTAATTTTCTTTGTGAAACCAATCAAGATCTCCGTTTCTGTAATATATCTTCCATTCTATCAAATGAGACCAAGAAAATGAGAATACAACCATAAATACCATATGAAAATACACTGCAAATTCTCTATTTTGAACCAAAAACACGGAGTTTTTTTTTTTCCTCATTATGCACTGTGTGCTGCAGGCTTTTTTTATACTGCACACTGACCATGCAGACCCATTCTTTCACATGTAGGCCTAGCAGCTTTCTTCCACCAGATTTGAAGGCACTAGAATTTTGGCGTAGTACTACGGGATTGACACTGAAAGGGTTAAGTATCTAATAATTCTGTAGGAGGTAGTGAATGTGGCAAGCCACAAGTTGAAGGGGGGCATGGTCAGGAGCTAGGACTACCAATGCAAGTACAAGTATGCAAGTATGCTCTTGCCCCTTGAGCTAGAAGGGAGTGAATCTGATAAATGAGAAGTTGACAGGTAGGGATAGGAGCTGAGACTAGACCCCTGTAACTATAAATACTGTAGGTGAGTACACATACATATACACATACACCTACCTTTAATTGTACATTCACTACGCTGACAGCCACCATTTGTTGACAAGCTTGCCTAAGTAGTGGGAAATAATGTATGGTGGTAGATGATCTCTCTTATGCTTCCAGTGTACTGTATACCTCTTTCTTCTCTTTCCCTTCTCTGTCTTCCCTCTGCTCTATCCTCCTCTCTTATCTCTCATCCCTTGTCTCCTTCCCTTCTCCGCTTCTTCCTAAGTATGGTAATAATAGCAGGAGCAGTTATAGTATTAATTCCAAACTCTGCTTCCTCTTTTCTGATTTAAATTTCATGCATATTTTAGTACAGCATGGAAATTTTCTTCCAGTTTTGGCAGGAGAGAGAGCCTTACCCTATATAACCATGATCTCTTCTGTCTGGGTGCTCCTTGACTTGCAATGGGGTTATGTTCCGATGAACCCATCCTAAGTTGAAAATATTTAAGTCGAATATATGATAAATAAATAAGTAAATGAGTAGCTACTGTCACTGAATAAGTAAATAAATAATTACTTTAACTAATTAAATACCAGTATTGAAAAGTAAATAAATGAATGCAAGTTTATTGTATCAATAAATGTATAGTACTGAATGTGCATCACTATCACTCCATCATGAAGTTGAAATATCGTCAGTCAGACCATCATAAAGCAAGGAGTATCTGCAGATGGAAATATTGATAGCTGCACTGCAGGTTAGGCCTCTACAAATAGTTTTGATAAAAACCATAATATCTTGCCAGTTCTTTACATGTACTATCCTAATTTCTTGTCTAAATATGATTAGCAGTGGCTTGGTAATATGTATAGTTTTCCTCCATAGACCACCCTAATATAGACAACAAGGCCCGTTGTTATTACTTTCTCATATATCATATGCTCTTTAACCGTTTCACCTTCATTCTCTTTCTCTTCCCTTTCTCATAGTGTAAATATTTATCCTACTAAAATTGGATATTTTTTATTGGAGCTTGGTAATCCTCTTTGCCTACTTTTTTGTGCCAGCCATATTACTGAAGAGAGTAGAGACCAAGGAGAGCAATTTCTGTTATTCTATCTTGACCTTTTCATTGTAGACAGAAACAATTGCTACTGCAAACAGTAGTTAACTCCTTTGCTGTAGCTAACCTTGGTATGGACAAAAAGGTCTTCTGCTATATCTTTCAAGTACTTCCCCTTTCTTTTTTTTACTTCCATTTTTCCCCACCATCTTTCCACTATTTGCTTCCATTCTCCTATTTATTTTCTGCTCTCTCTGTGACTTTCTCCACTTCCCTTCTCCTCTTCCCTTCACTCCTCCTTGATCACACACAGCTTCCTATTTGTCCATAGATTTTTTACTTTTACACTTTTGCTGGTTTATATATAATCACTTTGTCTTCACTTTTTTTATATATCTTTTATGCTTTTTTGTTTGTCTTCCATCTTTTATCTTACAGAAGACAGAAAGCAAATTGGGTTGGAGAAGGAAAATAGAAGGCAGACCTTTGTGGCAAATGCAGGTATATTAGTAACCATAGAGGAAATTTGTGAGAATGTTATCAGGGTTGATGTGAAACATAAAAATTCTGAAAGTAGGAACCTGGCAGGTCTATTCCAAGACAGATGGATAAGTGATTGAATTTCCTTGCCTTGCCAAGTTTCTAGAAATTGGTAGAGAGGTTAGTTTTTGGCCAGAAAGATTTTCCCAAAAGCTTCATCTGACCCAGAGTCAGTGAGGTAAATGCAATATCTTATTATTTTCAAGTGACTAAAATCTACTTCCTGTAAGACAGTCTGTTCTGAGGAGTCTGAATATACATTTTTTGTTGTAGGTAAAAGAATATTCATTAATCCTACACAAAAAAATTTTAAAATTATTATTATACAGACTTTACTAAATCACAATCCTTAAAGCTATTTGTGTATTAACCATTTTGTGAGTAGAAAATGAGCTTGAGTAAGACAACTTTGGATTTTATGCCTTAATGCTTCAAGTTAATATATGTACGTATTTAGAGCACTCTGCGGTAATGGTGAAATGCATGTTTAGGGAACTGAGATGGGAGAAAATAAATTATCAGTGATATAACATGTTCTTTAGATTACAAACATTAATCTTTTGTCTTTAATAAAGGTTTCAGTAGCAAGAACTCTCATTTCATAATCTACCCGTTTTTCATATTGATGTGAATGGAAAACTTCAGTCATTGTGTTACCTTGAGTCCACAAAATATAATAATGTTATAGTTTACTCCTTCCTTAAGAAATTATTGCCTACATTGCTTTCAACAAATGACTAATAAAAATCCACTACCTTTGTAATAGCTGAAGGGCAATACTTCCAATTACAGTATTAGGCATCTTAACTGTAAGGATTAAGGGCTTTTTGACCCTCTTCCTTAAAGTATAGAGGGAATTACAGCTAACACACTGTCTTAAAGGGAGAGTTTTAAAAGTTCTTGTAAGCTTCTGATCATCGAGGTTTTGATGCCTCCATTGCAAGTCCCAAGGTTTGACTGACCAGACCATCAAGGCTCTTAGTGAACCTTGATTATAATGATATCCAGAACCCTGGCCAGGTAGATACCAGGTAGGTAGTTAGTTATGGTAGGGCAGCAGTTTTATTCCAGAGGTTAAACAATAATTTTTTTCCTTTTTAGATCACTTGATAATAGTGTGGTGACTTAAAGCCTAACACAGGTATATTTAGAATACCAAAGAAATATACTGTATCTAGTTAGTAATTTAGTGTAGCTGTAGACAAAAGATGTATTTCTGGTTAGGAATTTAAAGCTGATAAAAGAAAGGATTGCCATATACCTTTTACTCTTGCCACACCTTCCATTCATTACTCATTCATGGTGCGTATTGCATTTTTTTTCTGGATATATCTGTTACATTACTAGTTTATTTTTATTTATATTAATTTTTTCGCAAGCTATCGAACGCAAGGTACTGTATTGGGTAACTGTGGTGCAGTATGTGATGATTAAATAGTATTAATGGGTTTATTGATGTGGCTGTCAGTGTTAGTACACAAGTCACATGTACATCATTCATAGTCATCGCTCATAGTCATACTTGTTTTCTTCAGCTTAGATAAGTTATAGCTTATCACTATATAAAGGGTTATTTTGTTTTCTGAAAGAAAGTATTATGTCTTTTTAAGTCTTGCAAGAAAATTCCTCCTAATTGGATTGGCTTCATATTTGGTTTTATGAAGCATTTGCAAGATGTTTATTTCCCTTGCCTTTTGAGTGGCATGCACATACAAGCATGTTAAGATGAATCTTTGACATAATTGTTTAAGAAGCGATGATGAACTAGTGATTCTCTTACAGCAGGTTGCTGAAGAGTTGTGGCTTATGGTGCAACATTTACCATCACTGCCACCAGTATTGTGCTAGAGGCAAGTGTCAAGTGTAAAAGGTTGGTGTTGAGGGAGTAAATGTTAGCTGAATGTCAGTTGAAAGATAGAATGATTGGTTTGCTATTCAGTAGGGTAATTTTGTCTTTATTTTTCTTAAATGTTTACAGGTGCTGGAAGTGGAGCTTAACCTTCATTTGTTATCTTTACTCCATGCCCGAGCAACGTACATGATGGCATCCTCGCTAATTACTTAATATAATTGAAGCATCCAGTCAGTCAAATAAGTATATGTAGGAAGAGCACAGCAGGATAAAATTTTAATGCTGAAATTAGATGTTTGTATCAGTTACTTAGCCACTTTCAATAGCCTTGATAGAGAATGGGGCACCATGGTACAGTAATATTTTTCTCTCAGCCAAAAAAAAACTGTGTGGATTCACATCCATGGCCAGGCAGAGTTGAACAACATTGACTATGGTGTGTTCAGAGCTCATCACTCATCTCATGAAGGCCCCAGACTAAGTTAAACCCTTTTTTGGGAGTAGCTACATTGCTAATAGTTAAGATGGCTTAAATGATATTAGCTTCTTTGAAATTTTCAATTAATGAGAAGTTATTGCATTAGATATGATGTAATCTTCATTTAATAATCACAAATTGTATCAGATATTGCTTCAATGAGATGCCTTTTGTGTCCGGTGGCTGGGTATGTGATACCTTGTTTTGCGGGGTGACTAATCGGACATGTTTCTCAAACAGAACTGCCACTTGCTAATAAACAAGAAAAACGTCTGCCAAAAGGAGTTTCACCCTGTAAGTACTCTTCCTTTTGTTAGTTCTGATCTCTCATTCTAAGATGACACATGGCCAATATCTCGCTTCTTTTCCTTAAACTTTCTAATCATCTGTTTCTCATGTTTTATCATATGTATAGTAAAAGGACACAAGTGCAACTAATGTGACATTTATTGTGGCAACGTTTCACTCTCCAGGAGCTTTATCAAGCCATTACAAACCATACATGGACACAGAGGGTATATAAAGGCTCAGAGCGATCCAGTTTACACTAGAAGAGTCCAATGACAAGCTACCTTTCCTCGACGTCCTCATTCACAAAGTAGACAACAACCTAAGATTTCAAGTTTATCGGAAACCCACCAATAAAAATGATCTCACACACTTCTATTCCAGTCAAGATACCAAGACCAAAAGAGGCATCATCATCGGGTTTTTCCTAAGAGCATACCGAATTTGTAGTCCTGAGTTTCTTGACGAGGAGTGTACATACATTCACCAAACATTCACTGAGTTACATTTTCCTTCTTTTTTCATCAAAGGCTGCAAAAAAAAAGAGCTCTTCAGATCATAAATTCTCCACGCATCAACACCACTCCCAGCAAAGTTATAATTCTTCCCAACAGCCAGGTTGCACTGAACGTCTCAAAAGTTCTTTCACAAGCTAATACCAGAGTCGCCATCGCTTCTAGCACTTCAATAAAGGATATAACCAGGACTAAATCCAAGCACCACGAACCAGTCAATGCAGGAGTTTACACTATACCCTGTGGAGGCTGTGACAAGATTTACGTAGGTGAAACAGCCAGAAACCTCGACACCCGCCTCAATGAACACATTTACGCATGTAGGAACGATAACTTGAACAACGCCTGTGTACAACACCGAAATTCCACCAATCATCTCATGAAATTCAGAGACGCCCAATTAGTGATCAAAGAAACTAATTTCCGCAGACGCAAGTGCCTCGAATCAGCACTGATCGCTGTTTCGAATACAATTAAACAAAACAACGGCAGCTTCACCATCTCCGAAGTCTTAGCAAGAATCCTCCTGAAAACAGTAAACCCTGCCATCACATACTCCTGTTATACTATACAAAGCACAGAGAGTGAACACTGAAACAAGCTGCCTCATTCCAGTCAATATTTGTCCAACCTATTTTTATGTTACCCAAGTAATAGCTTTTATATCCTTTTACTCATGTACGAATTAATTGCTCTACCATATTGTATTACTTTTGTCACTACCACCACTACTACTACTACTACTACTAGTGAACATCGAAATGGTACCTCACTAGTATTACACCTCACTCTGAGCCTTTATATACCCTCTGTGTCCATGTATGGTTTGTAATGGCTTGATAAAGCTCCTGGAGAGCGAAACGTTGCCACAATAAATGTCACATTAGTTGCACTTGTGTCCTTTTACTATACATATTGTCTGTAATTCTACCAACTTTATTTTATCATATGCATAGTACTGCTCAAATAAATACTCGTAATAAGGTTTTTACATAGAAGACTGTTCATATCTTGGATGTGGAGTGTAATATCATAAAAATTAATGAAATAACTACCAGTTTCTTTAGATTGGAATTTATGAGTACAGTATGCTTTAATGTACTTAGAACTTCCTGCAGTATATGTCATATATTCTTTAATATTTTTATCACAGGTTGTTCCAGGAAAGGTAAACATTCGCCATCATTCATTTAATAGCTGTCTTGGCAGAAATGCAGACATTGCAATTCAAATGACCCTCAGAACTGTAATATCCTCATCCCTTCTTATATATTCCATTTCCATTTTCCCCTTGACTTCCAATCTCTGTGTGCCTCCTTTCCTCTTCCTTTCTCCTTCAATTTGTGCCTTCTTTCATGTGAGTAATTGAGTGGTAGACCAGTTAATCCTCAGCAGATATCCTCTTTATGGTATATATTAACCCTTTCACTTGAGACTTCTGATCACAAACTTGCTCACAGTGTCGAAAAATATTCGAAAAAAAAAAAAAATTTTTTCTTACCAAAATCTTAGGAATATTTTTCTGATTGTTCTAAAAAAAAAAAAATTGTGATCAGTACTTACCGAGATATAGGGGTGTGAAGTTGACAAAGTGAACTGCCTGCGGCAACATCGGCAACTGCTGCTCATTCGGTAATATTATTTTTACTTTTACTTCTATTTTTTCTTTGCTAATATTTTATTTTTTCAAGTAACTTTTGTGGCCTGTGAGACCAATATAATGCATTTTTTTTTTTCAACAAACCGGCCGTATCCCACCAAGGCAGGGTGGCCCAAAAAGTAAAACAAAGGTTTCTCTTTTTAAATTTAGTAATGTATACAGGAGAAGGGGTTACTAGCCCCTTGCTCCCGGCATTTTAGTCGCCTCTTACAACACGCATGGCTTACTGAGGAAGAATTCTGTTCCACTTCCCCATGGAGATATGAGGAAATAAACAAGAATAAGAACTAGAAAGAAAATAGAAGAAAACCCAGAGGGGTGTGTATATATATGCTTGTACATGTATGTGTAGTGTGACCTAAGTGTAAGTAGAAGTAGCAAGACGTACCTGAAATTTTGCATGTTCATGAGATAGAAAAAAAGGACGCCACCAATCCTACCATCATGTAAAACTATTACAGGCTTTCGTTTTACACTCACTTGGCAGGACGGTAGTACCTCCCTGGGTGGTTGCTGTCTACCAACCTACTACCTAGAAGTATAATGCATAATGTATATATATCCACTCGTATGCAACACAATAACCGCACAAACATTGTTATCATAATGTTTACAAAACTTGTATGCACAAACCCACGCTGCCTTCCCCACCCACACCGTCTTCCCCACTACCCACGCTGCCTTCCCCACACCCACACTGCCTTCCCCACCCACACCGTCTTCCCCACTACCCACGCTGCCTTCCCCACACCCACACTGTCTTCCCCACCACTCGTGCTGGAAATAAGTCACTTGGACTTCTTTTGGGTTACCCTAGGTTCTTTACACATGCTGCTATGTATGATAATCTATGCAACTGTATTCGTGTATACTTGAATAAACTTACACACCGTCTTCCCAACCACCCACACCATCTTCCCCACCATCCATACTGTCTTCCCCACTATCCAGGCTGCCTTCCCCAACACCCAGGCTGCCTTCCCAAACACCCAAGCTGCCTTCCCCACCACCCAAGCTGCCTTCCTTTTTAACTATCTGTATCTGGTATCCTGGGCATTGCTTTTGGTCACAAACTTCTCAAAACCATGAAATTGAAATTCATCTTCACTGACACTTCCATCTGTGTTAGAACTATCACTTGGGAAGAGAAGAGTCCCAAATTTGCCAGGAAGTCAGATATTTCTTACCGCTATACATGCTGAACAAGGACTACTGAAATGGCATGCCAAGAATGCACCATTGGTTCCCCGATTTTTTTTTATACTGCACACACTGACCACGCAGACCCATTCTCTCACATGTAAGCCTACTAGCTTTCTCCTGCTAGATTTGAAACCGCTAGAATTTTGGCATAGTACTACAGCTCCAACACTGGCTCGTAAGCCGTAGTACTCCGGCACCAACTGTGAAAGGGTTAAGGACTAGCTAATCTAGCTACCTCTTCTTGCATTTAGACAGTTAAGGCTAATCTTGTGTATTCCAGTCCTTCCTACCTTCTTTCTCACTCCTCTTTCCTCCATCCACCTTCATTTGTGTGTGTTTTACAAGACTAAGGATGAGAGTCCCTGTATCTTCTTGCATTCTAGGTGTTAATCAACCTTCATTTATTCAAAACATTGGCACAAACCATTGTTTTATCAGTGAATTTTATACGTGTATACCTCTTCACCAAACACCCACATTCAGGACAGTAATCCTATGACTTTTTGGTCTGTTCTGAAACCTTGTAGTCACCAAAACATCATGAGCCTCCTCTTCTAAAGGCAGGTTTTTAGCGAATTATCAAAGCCATGGTACTGACATTTTATTCTTTAGGTGTACACTTTGTTTAATAAGTAACATTCACATTAGGTTTTAGGTAGTAGGTTGGTAAACAGCAATCACCCAGGGAGGTACTACCGTCCTGCCAAGTGAGTGTAAAACGAAAGCCTGTAATTGTTTTACATGATGGTAGGATTGCTGGTGTCCTTTTTTCTGTCTCATAAACATGCAAGATTTCAGGTACATCTTGCTGCTTCTACTTACACTTAGGTCACACTACACATACATGTACAAGCATATATATATATACACACCCCTCTGGGTTTGCTGGTATTTTCTTTCTGGTTCTTGTTCTTGTGTATTTCCTCTTATCTCCATGGGGAAGTGGAACAGAATTTTTCCTCCGTAAGCTATGCGTGTTGTAAGAGGTGACTAAAATGCCGGGGGAAAGGGGCTAGTAACCCCTTCTCTAATATAAGTTACTAAATTTAGAAAGAGAGACTTTCGTTTTCCTTTTTGGGCCACCCTGGCTTGGTGGGATACGGCCAGTTTGTTGAAAAAATAAAAAATCACATTAGGTATAGGGTAGCATTCTTTTTTTCAGTCAGTTTTTAAAAATATTTCTCATACCTTTTGTAGGTGCCTTGCAATTGAATCGTCACTACGCAGAAACAGGGACACTACTAGGGCACCTACCAGAGGTCACAGATTCATCTGCCACCCCTACCACCAGTACCACCACTCCAGGTATTTGATATTCACAGTGTGCCTGTACCTATGTCTTAGTATACTGGTTAGCATTTTACCCCAGGGTAATTAGTGCAGAATATCCAGAAATTATGACTTCATGTTACCTCTAATGATTGTTACTCAACGTTAAGGGTTAAGATACTGTGTCCAGAGTATCATTCTTTTACATTGTCATATATAACTACAAAATTATATAATATATTTGAGCTTCACATGAAGTGGTGAACCTATAGTGCCTCAACTTGTTTTTTATTTCTTTTTTTTTATTAACATATCGGCAATTTCCCACCAAGGCAGGGTGGCCTGAAAAAGAAAAACTTTCATCATCATTCACTCCGTCGCTGGCTTGCAAGAGGCGCACTTACACTACATTTATATAAGTGCAACATTCACTCCTTCAGAGTGCCAGCACTGTACTTCACATCTCCAGGAATCAAGTCTGGTTTGCCTGTTTCCCTGAATCCCTTCATAAATGTTATCTTGCTTACACTCCACTTGTATCTAGAATTAACTGAAAAACTGCATGACACCACTCGCCAAACATTTCTTAATTAGTTTAGTAAATCCACTTAATTTGCTACAGCAAAAGGAATGTTAAATAAAGGCATTAATATACAATTAGGATTCAGTGGTGATGAAAATATTCATTTTGTGTTACAGCAGCAACAGCCTGGTTGATCAGGCAAGCACCAAATGAGCCTGGCCCATGGCTGTCTATAATATACTCATACATTCAGATGATCTAAGTCTGTGATGGCCTAGTATGCATTATTTGTACCACCTTCAAATTTGCCTTTAGTGGCAAATTTAGGCCTAAACATGGAAGAATGAGTCTTCCTGCTCCTACACAGGTGATGATGAGAATAGCAAACTTTCCAGCCTTTAACCATCACTTCCAGATGTGAATCCCTTGCTTCCACCACAATTAATCATATATTGTTATGGATATGCTGGAAGAAAACCAAAACTCAGATGTGGTATTCACAGATTTGGTAAAGGTGCTTTGACAGAGGTGATCATGGGGTGATTGGGCTATAGGCCTACCAGGGAATGTTGGCAGATGGATTCTCAACTTTGACAGAACACAAAGGGTAGTAGTAAACAGTAAAATCTAGCATTAGCCAGGTAAAAAGCTCAGTACCCCAAGGTACAGTCAAAGTGACTCCATTGTTTCTTATCCTCACTGCAGACATAAATAAAAAAAACTTAGCACAGTTTTATATCATTTGTAGATGAGGCCAAAATAATTATGAAAGTCACCTCAGTAGAAGGAACAAAAATATTGCAGGATGATATAAGCAGGGTTTTCCAGTGGGCAATGGAAGACATGACATTTAATGGTGTTAAGGTCCAGCCATTTAGGTATGGAAAAAAATAGAGTTCAAAAGGAATACTGTTATACAAAACTCAAGAGGATCATCACATAAAGTTAGAGGAATTTGAGCAAGACCTGGGAATAATTATGTCAGATGATTTTTTCTTTCAAAAACACTAAGCCAGATGTTGCTACAACTTGGAAAATGACAGGGTGGAGAATGAGAACTTTTAAAAGAAGGGAAATTGTGCTAATGGTGTCATTTTTCCGATTGCTTGTGCCTCTTCTTTTTGAGTATTGTTCAGTGTCAACAGCTTCATTCAAGGCGGGGAAAATATCAGAGGTGGAACAGATAGACATAATTAATGGCCCACATAGAGCCAATGAAGCATTTAAATTAATGGGGACATCTTAGTCCTAAACATGTACTTGCTGGAATGGAGGAGAAAAGAGATGAACGGGAATATATACGTGGAAGGTACTTGAGGGCCTGGCCCCAATTCTGCACACTTCCATAACATAAAGGAGTTAGAATATGGTAGGAAATGTAAGATAAACCCAGTAAAGGGCAGGAGTTCCTTGGGCACAACAAGAGAACATTGTATCAATATTGATGGTCTCTGATTGTTTGACATCTTACCAGAAGATATCAGAAACACTGCTGAGACTTCATGGCAGTGGGTTCTGCCCCACTGTTGCCAGAAAGTGCTTCATAGCCTTCACCTTGGCACCAAGCTGAAGGCCATGAAGATTTTTTTAATTGCGATTCAGTGCTTTGAATTTCGGCGCCATAGACAGTTTGAAGGATAATATATGTGCTGCCTCGGTGGGATACAGCCAGTTTGTTGGAAAAAAAAAATGTATTTATACTCTTGATCCAGTTTAGTTTGGAAGTATAATGTTGAGTGATAAACCCTATTACAAAAGTTAACAGAATATTTAACATTAATGAAGTTTTGTACATTGCAGTATTTACGTCTACAGCAGCGGCAGCACCACTACTAGAATCTCCTTTGTCAAATTCAACGCTGAAAAAGAGAGCTTCCATCCGTGCACCACGGTCTGCATTACGTTCATCCAAGACATTGCTACCTAGCCAGTCCACTACATCATCATGGTCAAGGATGAGTAATGCATCAGCTTCGTCAGTGAGTGATGCTCATAATGAGGGCACAGGAAAGAGACAAGAGAAGCAAGGAAATGCTCAAGGCATACAAGGCACAGTGAGTCTTGAGAGTTTGGTAGAAATACTGAAAGTAATTCAGAAATTCCCAGCTGGCTCCAATATACATACGTCAGTTTTGCAGTTAGCAGAAGAATTGGTTAAATCCATGAAAAAGAACATTTCCTCACCATGTAAAATAGAAATAGGAGGACTGATGGATAAGCAAGATGTGGTTCAACCTATGTTTCCTGAGAGAGTGGTCAGTAATGTTCCAGCTTCAAATATACCATCTGGGTCTTATAATACCAAGACTCAAGATTTGGTCCCTCACACTATTTCTCTGCACTCTCAAACTCAGCCCCACGAAACATTCACAGATGGTAACCACTCCAACAATGTGGTTTTGCCTGTAGCTACAACAGTCAGTTTATTTCCATTTACATTTGTATCTGCGATGCCCTCTACAGTATCTGCTGGATCTAGAGTAGCACGAGTAGCCCCAGTGGTACCAGTTGCTCCAACGACTACAGTTTCGTCTCCAGAATTAACTCGTACAGTCAGTGTGTGTGTTGATCCTGCAGATATCTTGGAGGGACCATCATTGAAGAAACATTGTGGTAATGCACTCCCCATGGACTACCAGTTACTAAGGAGTAACCACTTTGGGTCAGAACCAGTTCTGTCTAGCAGCATTTCTGACACAGTTGTGACACAAACCCCTGTCAGTACTTCCTTTAACACTGTTGCACCTATGCTGCCACCAAAAGTTGTCAGTAACCAGCATAGCTCTGATCATACATCTGCTGTGGATACTGAAAGTTGTAGACTTGATATTTCTACATCAAGGATTATTAATTCCCAGCACTTAACTGAAACCTCAGTTGATGCTCCTGTATACCAGCCAATTAGTCAACCAGTAATACATAACATTGGGCAAGATACAACCCATGTGGCACAGTCCCTAAAGAACAAACCAGCCAGTTACACAAACAGTACCACACACAAACCTGGTCACAACACATCAAACAAGCCAGACTATCAGTCATACATCAACTCAAGGTAATATTATTGATCAGCACACTAATCAGCAAACTATGACTGTTCAGTCGACCCTACCAGCAACTGACTCTGATCCATTGCTTTCTCAGTCAGCAGGACTTTGTCCTTTACTGGCAAATGTTGCAGTGACTACTACAAGTCAAGCAATTTTGCCTTCATCATCTATGACAACATCAGCCTTGACCCGTTCTGACCCACTTTTGTCTCAGTCTAGCCCGGTTGCTCCCATACACATAGAAGCTAACACGTCAGCTTCCATTGTCAGAAATGAGCCAGGAAATGCTAGGTCTAGAGGAGATCCACTTATGGTGCCCAACCCTACAGTCTCTCAAGTTTCCATGCAAAATGAAGTGACTTCTGCTATCAACCTCTCTGAGTCAGAGCTTCTGAATTACTTTGATCCAAATTGTTTTGATAATGGTAAGTGTTCACATACAAATAGATTGCAGACTTATTTCATTTTTTCACCTTTGTTTCCAGATGCTGTACAACCCTTGTAGGTTTAGTGCTGAAATTTATTATTATACATAATAATAATTTGATATTCTTACACTGCCTTTTCATATTTTCAAACATCAGTCACTGACTGTTTCCCATGAAACAGAGTTTTTTAAGATGATTGATTTATTTCCCCCTCAAGGTAAGGTACCTCAAGAAAAGAAAACATTCACTATCATTCAATCAATAGCTGTCTTGCTATAATTGCACATACTTGATGATTCAATTGACTCTGAAATACAACATCCCCAGCCCCTCCTTCAGAGTGCCAACTCTGTACTTACCACCTCTTGGACTTTTGTTCCAGCTAACTAGTTTTCCTGAATCCCCCCAAAAGCATTACCTTACTCTCTTCAACAACACATTGTTATAAAAACCACTTGACTTCACTCATTACAATCTTCTTCTTCTGTCAACAAACTGGCCATATCCCATCAAAGCAGGGTCGCCCAATAAAAAAAAAAAAAAGTTTATCATTTTTAACTTTAGTAATGTATACAGGAGAGGGGGTTAATAGCCCATTGCTCCCGGCATTTTAATTGCCTCTTACTACATGCATGGCTTGCGGAGGAAGAATTCTATTTCACTTTCCCATGGAGATAAGAGGAAATAAACAAGAACAAGAACTAGCAGGCAAATAGAAGAAAACCCAAAGGGGTGTGTATATATATGCTTGTACTTGCGTATGTAGTATGACATAGGTTTAAGTAGAAGTAGCAAGACGTACCTGAAATCTTGTATGTTCATGAGACGGAAAAAAAAAAAAGCCAGAGCAATCCTACCATCATGTAAAACAATTACAGGCTTCTGTTTTACACTCACTAGGCAGGACAGTAATCCTCCCTGGGCAGCTGCTGTCTACCAACCTACTACCTAGGATTAATATATACTTGCATAATATTATATGTTCTAACTCATAACAGATATAAATGAAAAATGCTTAACTTGGTAATACAAACTTAATATACTGATTATTATTACAGTCAAAACTAACCACTAAACCCACAAGGGTCATACAGTACTGCAATAAATACACTGAACAAATAGCAAAGTAGTACTTATGAAAAATTATGGGTATGACAACAATGACACACAACAATACAGTGGAACCTCGGTTGTTGAATTTAATTCGTTCCAGGTGTCGGTTCGACGACCAAAGCAATTTTTCCCATAAAGAATAATGTAAATAGAATTAATCTGTTCCAGACTACAAATGACAATATAATAATTTATTATTAATAATAATCATGTACTAACTCCTAGGTAGTAGTAGGTTGGTAGATATCAACTTCCCAGGGAGGACTACTGTCCTGCCAAGTGAGTGTAAAATGGAAACCTTTAATTGTTTTACATGATGGATAGGATTGCTGGTGTCTTTCATCTGTCTCATAAACACAAGATTTCAGGCACATCTTGCTACTTCTACTTACACTTAGGTCACACTGCACATGCATAGACAAGCATAGACAAGCATATACAGCCTCTCCTCACTTGACAATGGAGTTCCATTCCTAAGACCATGGCAGTAAATGAATTGGTTGCTAAGCAAGGAACATACTATAATGGTAATTGATTTGTGTCATCCATCTTTGATATTGTTTTAATATCACCTTTGCACCATTTATAACATTTTTAGTATATTTTTAAACGTTTATACAGTAGTGTACTGTATATTGTAATAAACAGAATAGAGGAAATCACCTCTAATATACATTATTTAGGTATGCCCACTGGTCAGAGAGCCCTTCGTAAGTCCGAGTTGTCAGTAAACAAGTACATCGCTAAGTGAGGAGAGGCTTTATATACACATGCCCCTCTGGGTTTTCTTCTGTTTCCTTACTAATTCTTGTTCTTGGTTTCCTCTTATCTCCATGGGGAAGTGGAACAGAATTACTCCTCCATAAGCCACATGTGTTGTAAGAGGCAACTAAAATGCCAGGAGCAAGGGGGCTAGTAACCCCTTCTGTATATATCATTAAATTTAAAAGGAGAAAGTTTTGTTTTTTCTTTTGGGCCATCCTGCCTTGGTGGCTGGCTTATTGAAAGAAGAATGTACTACTACATAAAACCATGTATAAAATTATACAGCACAGGGAAACTAAAAATGAATACTAAATGAAAATTTAATTGAAATACTGTACAGTAAATGAAAATTTAACTGCCTCTTACCTCTCAGAGGAGAGCTAATGACAAAATTCTAGTGGCCTCAAATCTTGCGGGAGAAAGCTGCTAGGCGTGCATTGGAGAGAATTGGTCTGCATAGTGTGTGCAGTATAAAAAAAAAATCTTGCAGTACGCAGTGCATAATGAGAAAAAAATGCGACCGTGTTTTTGGGTTTAAAACAGTGACTTTGCAGTGTATTTTCATGTGATATTTATGGTTGTATTCTCGTTTTCTTGGTCTCGTTTGATAGAATGGAAGATATGTTACAGAAATAGAGATGATTTGAAATTGAGCTCAAATTAGTGGAAATGTTAAATTTTTACCGAATGTTCAAGAGTAAACAAATCACATCACTCGTCCAATGCACATAAATTGGCAGGTCTAATATGCATTCATGAATGTGCTGACATTATTTATACAATTATTCAGTAGTCTGAATAACAGTAAATCTTCTATATTTGTGTGAATAAAAATTTAAAATAAAATGCAAATATAATATAAGAGAGGCCTGGAGATGTCACTTATGAACAGTGAAAAATGCTATTTTATTGCCAACAATGTTGGCATTGTTTATTCTAGACCTTGTTTTGAAATTGGCCTTTCTTGACTTTTGTGTGAAATTGGCCAAATTAGTAATTTCAGATCACTTTATTGGGTAGTTGATATAGGTAAATGGGCAGTTTCTTATACTCAATTGATAGAATAAAAGATGTTCTAGCAAAATAGCTATGAGTTTGGTCAACTGGAACAATGAAATAGGCCCAAAATAGGGCTCAAACTGGGCAAAAATCACTGAGACCGCTAAGCTTGCAATAACATAATTGTAGGTTTTCCATCTAATTTTGTACTTTGGGTTTTATTACCTTCGAAAAAGATTATCATTTCATAATTTTTTTTTTTTTTTTAATTCTTCAACCCTGGGAGCATTGTCTGTCAACAACCAGAGGATGTACAAAAACCAGGACATATTTTCTTGAATTCCTCATTTGAAAACCAAACTGTCCGACAAAGAAGACATTCGACAACCGAGGTTCCACTGTATATATAAATACTATAACATATGTACTTGATGAAGTAATGTCAAACCTAAGTGAAACATAGATATGAAAAAAGTTATTTAAACTTATTGTATGAAACAATGTAGTGAAGAATTTAATTTCACATAATTTAAGCTTTTTTTTTTTTTTTTTATCATTTCAGATTTTGGATGCAGAATTTGCATAGCACTTTTACATAAACAGTATACAGACTTGCACTAGGATTATCAAATGAATTTATTTCTTGTTTGGTATGCATGGATTCTGTGAAGCACTGGGAAGTGTCTTGCATTATGGTTATTGTCCTGAAGATGTAAAGCCCCCAGCAGAGTATACAAATGGCTTGTATGTTTGGTAAATTTCAAGCTTTGAATCGAGGTGGTGCATCATTTTGTTATCTAAATCTAGCATTTCACATAATTATGATGGCTGGCCCTCTTCAAGGGGGCTCCTTGGCGTGGTGAAGAGGCTCTTGGTCTGAGGAATTAGACCTGTCGGTCTTCTCCTCAGATCGAACCTAATTACCCCCCAATCTCCCCTCCCCTATCCCATCCTCCCCTTTTTCCTTTCCTCCTCCTCCTCCCCACCCCTCCCTTTTGCCCTTCCTCTTTTTGGCCTTTGGGATTCTCTCCCACAGGTGCGCTAGTTCCTAGGTAGGGAAAGGATACCGGGGTCCATCCCATTCCGTTGAGGTTCTTGGCGGTGGCGTAGTTTGCCGTGGAATCTAGATCGCCTGGGATGTCCTGATCCCTCTCCAGTATCCCGGAGTAGCTTGGTGTCTTTCGGGCGACGGTGTATCTCTGGAAGCCACCTTTTCGGATTCCGGGGGTGGTGGCCGAAGGAGGTATGCTTTGTGGCGGATATCCGCCGCCGCCCTCTCTTGTCCACCGAGGTAGCTCGGCAGATGTGAGGTTGCTATCCCGGATTGCTGGTTTACTGGCATGAAGGGTAGGGTATGGCACGGGTTCCATGCTGCATCTGCGCTACTAGCGGTGCTGAGGTCCTCTTGGGCGCGGAGGGAGATTTCCGGCCCTTTGATTCCTCCTGGGAACTATTCCTCCCCACTCCCCCTTTTTTTATTCTTTTTTTTTTATTTTTATTTTCTTCTTTCTTTTTTTTCTTAAAAACAAAAAGCAAAGGAGTAACCTAACCATGGAGAACCCAATCCATGAACCCACTACCCCCGGGCCCCTTCTTGATACCGCACCCCATTCTGACCCTGCCTTGTTTTTAGACCACTCTTCGGACACTCCTGATGCCCCTGTACCTCTTGCTGGTGCTGTTTCCTCACCTGCTTCAAGTACCGGGGCTTTGACTGACTCCTTCAATTTGTCTGAACTCCGCTCTCCTTTGACTATGCTTCCGGCTTCTCCCTCTACTGTATGGCAATTTTCGAATCGCCCACCCATTTCACGCCGGACCAACTCCGGTCCTACTCCTAAACGCCAACGTCAATCTCCTGATGATGCTCCTTCGTTACCTTCCCATTCTACTCGGAAAAGACCGACACATCATGCACTCCCTCTCCACGCTCAGTTTCGGACCACACAATGGACTAAATTCTTTACTTTAAGACCGACTTCTTCTTCTGCCTACCTTTCTGACCATAGTATTGGCAAAGCGCTCCTGCATCATGTTGGTAGAGATATTTCATTTCATGCTCTCAAGAGCGGTACGCGCATCGTCACTGTCCAGAATGCTACCCAAGCTCATGATCTTTC